TCTTTTTATCTTACTTTCTCTTTTTTGCTTTGCATACTTTTATTATTATTTTTGTGCATGTATGTGTATGAGAGAGAGCGAGAAAGAAAGAGAGAGTTTTCATCAAATCTGCAGCAAGAATTCTTCCCAACTGAGGTAAAAGTGAGAGTCTGTATCTTCTAAAGTACATCTAGCTTTCTAAAGATTGCTAATAGGCTTCTCCACAATATCATCTCATGCATTTCATGGTGCTTTAAAATGTGTCCTTAAACAGTCTTTAAGTGCTTCTTCTCCTTTGCTTCTTTGTAATGAAAATGAGAATAATTAACCAAAAAAATAGCATTTCTTTGGTATATCTGAAACAGTTTGAGAGTGAGTGAAATGTGAAAGAAAAAGTGGGAGAAGTTGATAAAGGAAGTTGGCCCAACTTAAGATCAGCAAAACATCTTTGATGGCTATTTATGCGTGAAGTTTCTTATCTGTGTCATGGACAAATAACTGGTCTACCTGAAAAGGCTAGGGTGGAGAATTTGTCTGAAGCTGTTGGGGACTGTAGCTTAAAAGTTCCCTAGACTCCACACTCCAATTCCATGAAATCAAGAATTTGACTTCCAAGACTGTAATAGTTTTCTCTCTAAGTAAGGGCCTTATATTGCCAGATGTATGCTTCCCTCCTTTCTTACCAGTTCAAAACACCATCGTCCCTACTGTGTTCTTGTAATGCCTCCCCAAACAAGGGCAGCAAAATTGCTGCATTCATATGAGGGCTGTGGCTGTTGGAGGCTTCAGTGGAAGAAGCACTGAGGTAAAGGAAGGGCAGGGAGGCAAAACCTGTCTCTCTACGTTTTTTCTCTTTCCCAGCAAGATTCTACAGCTATTGGAGAAAAAAAAAACTAAGTAGCGGAGGTGACTGACTGGAATAACAATTCCACTGAATTAATTTACAGAAAGTTGCTATTCGTAATTGAAAAGAAAACGAATCTACAAATAAATATGTAAAACCTTTGGTGGTTGTTATTCGTTTATTTAAATTGATTGGCTGCCCAATTCCAGTGGATTCCAGTGGTTACTGAGGATATTTTGTCCTTTCCAGTAACAAAGAGAAATGGCCTCAGAGATATAAACTTGCAAGATGGGGTAGGAGGGGGCATATCGCAACAGGTCAATTGGAGTCTTGTAAGTTACAGACTTCCCTCAAACTCTCTTCCAGGTGAATCAGAAAGTTTGCATGGAGTTATATTGTATATATTTTACAACTGAATACACCACTTTACTGCCAATATATTTCAATTGTTTCAGTCTTCCCAGTGGTATGCTGGTATTAAGATGGAGACTTCAGAGGGAATAAATGTAGAGAAAAGAGTAAGGAAGTGTTCTGATTTGTTTTGGGACAACTTCAGTTCACCTGTGTCTGCATTTGCAGACAAGACAGCCTTCCTTGAAAACTGAAAACAGTAGCCTTAAAAGCATTATATTCAGTTTGCAATAATTTAATGTAAATGGCAGGTTTAGGGTGCAATAGAAGGGAAGCACCCTGCTCTTTTTTGCCTTTTGCTTTTTAAGTGTGCAAGACATATCCTGCACCATATGAACTACCATGAATAAGGATTAAACTTCTTCCTTGATCTCTTTATTGGGCCATCAGAGAAGCCCCAGTTTTCTCACTTATTGCAGCGCAACAAAGGCTGGTTGCTTGGACAAGATTGGCAATCAGATTTTTAAAAAAAAAATATTTTGTCTTTATTATTTTTATAAATAAACTCAAGATGGCAAACATACCTAATACTCCTTCCTCCTCCTATTTTCCCCATGGCAATCCTGTGAGATGGGTTGGGTTGAGACAGTATCTGGCCCAAAGTCACTTAGCCAGTTTTCATGACTAAGGTGGGACTACAACTCACAGTCTCCTGGCTTCTAGCCTGGTGTCTTTATCACTAGACCAAACTGGCTCTTTTAAAAATATCATTCTTTCCTTCCCAAAGTTAAACTCCTAAAACATCCAGAAACTGATTAATAGAGAAAAGACTGCCTATACTTTTGCATTCAGGCCTTCTCCTGGCTATCTTATTCTTTGATAGATTTAATTTTATTCTGGACTTTCCCCTAAGAGTATTAACCCCTAGGTTGAATTTATGAATAGATAAACACTACAATGCACGTATAATGGGGGCTCCCTTTCCTCTCCTTCCTTCTCCAACCCTCTTTTCAATTTGACTTTGAAGAGTTCACCACCATCTCCAGCAGACTGTGACTACTGTGTGTAAATTTATGATTGCATCAGCACTTTCAGTTTAGTGCAGAACTAGGAGTGAATATCAATTTTATTTCTATGCAAAGTACAGGAATTCCTCGGAATTAGAAGAATACAGTATATGGTCCCTAGACAGACATAGTACTTCTCTCTTTAGAAAAATAAGCATGCACATCAGGAGTATGTCACACGTAGCCAAGCAAAATATTGTTAGAGAACAATTCCCATAATCCTTCCCTACTGGCTATGTGTCCAGAAACAAAGCTAGTTAGCTGTTTATCCCCAGTTTATACAGTTTGAAGAGCAATATTTGGGTGTGGTGTTTATCAATAGCTGGAAATACACATTATTTCCTGATCACAGCTGGAACATCAGTTGCGACCACCCTAGAGAGGGAAAGAGCAGTCTCACAACTATGTCAAATATATATCCTGCAGATTTAAAGGACAAACCATCCAAATTCCAATGGACGTTGTGATGTGGTCAGAATTTCCATATAGACATACTTTCCGCATGGAAAGTAAATTAAAGAAACTGTTGATTCTAGTTATCTGACCAATATTTCCTTCCCCTGGAAGGAAGAACACACAAAGAAACAATAAGAAATCTTATCAAACCATAGATACTTGGTGTAAACATACATTACTGGTTTTTTTCAATAGCAAAATGCTTCCTCTGCCACAGACAAAAATCTAGGGATCTAGAAAGCTTTTTCTCCATTTCTTTAGCAATTTTCAGATATTCAGCTATCCAATACTTTCCCATTCACCAACAAAGGAGGGTAGATACTTACCGTGATTCCCCGAAAATAAGACCTAGCTTGATTTTTGGTGTTGGGCCTAATATAAGGCCCTACTTAAGACTCCGCCCACTTCATCCCACCGTAGGTTTTTTGGCACGCTGCATTGCGTGCCTGTCCCCCCCCCTTGCCTGCTGTTGATACTGCCATGGTGAAGTGGCCTGAACATTAAGAGAGCTGCGGCCTGAGGCAAGCAGAGGCTGCCTCCTTTGTATCCCTGCCCTGGATTGGGGAATCCAGCGGGTAGGCAGGGGTGGGGACTGGCCGGGGCCTCAACCAGCAGCTTCTCTCCTTCACTCTCACCCTGAAGCAGCCTCTGAAAGCAGCCTGCACTGCCCTGTGGGCTTTGCTGGCTTTCTCTTCCTCTGCGGAAGGGTGAGAAAGAAAGCTGGGCATCCCAAGATGTCCCACTCTGGGAGGAGATTCGGGTTTCCCTCGGTGGGGGGAGGAAGGCTTTGGAAACTACCTTTTCATTTACATTCATCATCAATATTGTAATCCATCCCTTTATTTTTCCCAAAAAAATTATTTGTATTCACCACGATTAGCCTCCTTGATCGCAACGGGAAGGCATGGTATGAATTCTGCACATGAGCCACGGAAATAGAGACACTCGCACCCTAAAAGCTCACGCCACTTCCTTGCTCAGGGTGCACCACTGCTTTATGTGAGCATTCAACTTTGTGGCTCATTTAAACTGTTCAGCTGCGGCAGACTGCAGTTCCCGTCAGCTTCAGGAAGCCTGGGCGATAGAAACCTTAGGCCAGGCTCCTTGCAGCTGAAGCAATCTGGTCAGGTTGGCTGTCGCCGGAGGCGTGGCCCATCCTCGTCCTCCAGCTCCACCGCACATGCGGGAGTGGCCAACCTCACCCTGGGCGAGCTAACAGGGAGAGGTTGCGCATTGTAGGAGACAACTGCAAAGGGCCCTTATGGATCACTGCAGTCCTGGAGGCTCCAGGAGCTGCAGGGATCCACACGCTGTTTTTGGCGCCACATCTCCGTGTGCGTCTGCCTTGCTGTTTTAGGCAGTGCTTCGGATCAACTGCAGTGCACTGTGGAGAGGATGGCTGGGGTTTGAGGGATGTTCTATTCCCATTCATAGCATGGCCGCCGTCCAATCACTGCGTCACCTCTCGGGAGGGCAGCATCAGCTGCCAGTTCAGCGGTGGGGAAAGTGGAAAGCAAATCCCGCCCACCAAATCAGTCTGGTGGGGATGGGATGGGAAACCAAGTGGCGCCGAAAACAGCGCTAGGAGCCTCCAGGAACTGCAGGGATCCACGTGCGCCCTTTGCAGTCATCCTCCTGCAATGCACAGCCTCTCCCTGTAAGCTCGCCCAGGATCAGGTTGGCCATCACGGGAGGCTCGTCCTGCATGTGCGGTGGAGCTGGAGGATGGGGATGGGACACGCCTCCAGTGACCGCCAACCTGACCCTGGACGAGGCGGATTGCTTCAGCTGCGAGGAGACTGGCCTAAAGTTTCCATCGCCCAGGCTTCCTGAAGCTGACAGGAACTACGGCCTGCTGCAGCTGAAGAGTTTAGCTGAGCCACAAAGTTGAATGCTCACATAAAGCAGTGGTGTGTCCTGAGTGAGGAAGTAGCATGAGCTTTGAGGGTGCGAGTGTCTCTATTTCCATAGCTCATGTGCAGAATTCACATTGCACCTTCCCATTGGTGATCAAGGAGGCTAATCGTGATAAATACAAATCATTTTTTTGAAAAATAAAGGGATGGATTACAATATTGTTGATGAATGTAAATGAAAAGGCAGTTTCCAAAGCCTTCCTCCCCCACCAAGGGAAATCTGAGTCGCCTGGTGGGGTGGGGCACCGGCCAGGCTGGGCCTTGTGGTGAAAAAAATAAGACAGCCTCCAAAAATAAGCCCTAATGGGTCTTTTGGACCAAAAATAAATATAAGACCTGGGCTTATTTTCGGAGAAACACGGTACATAGTTGCTAGTAGTGTATTACCTGAAATGACAGCTATCTTCCATGAGCCATGCTCTTCCTTGGCAATTCTCTCTGCTTCCTCCATAAGCAGCATCCCAAATCCCTGGAGAAAAGAAATAGGAATGCAGGAAATGTAAGTTTCCAGAATACTGGGAGCTTATAATTTAGAGATTAGCTGGCAGAACACTTAGAAGGTAATATGGTAACTATGAAGAGGCAGATAGGATTGAGAAAAAGGGAAAAATGATTAAAAATAATTCAAGCATTTCCTTATTTTTAACAAATACACCAGCTCTTATGGGATAGCTACATTGATCTGTTACAGGAAACAAACAAACAAACAAACGAGAATAAAAAACAGAAAGGAGAATGTTGAGACATCCTTTATCAGTACAACATATGTCCCTCTGAACTAGTACATGAATGCCCACTATGTTGGCTTGTAAGATTGTCTCTAGAGAGCCTACCTTGCATAGAAAGAATAATGGGAGCATGATTGGATAACATTGGCACATATAGAACACGAGCAATTGAAATAGATACAATATTGAGCATTAGCAAATAATGCTGCCTACAGCACGGCTATGACTCAGGCTCATAATCTAGTCTGTATTTTTTCTATCTTTCTAAAATGAAGGCCTGAAAGGCTCATTTGAACAAAGCCATGATGGGTGTCAGAAGGTCAGGATCTATAGGCAGCATGGCAGAGTAAGATGCCCTGATTGGGACAGAAATGTCAAATAATCTGAAAGTTAAAGCTTTCCCCCTATATGCTAAAACCTGCAATGTGCCACATCAACCCTAGAAGCAACTTAATTAAATGCCTGAGACCAGGCATGTCTACGTTTTAGTGAAAGTGTATAAAAGGAATAGGTTTGTTAAAATATGAAGGTTGCTTGAGACTTTGCTGGCACTGTATTTGAATTGTGTGAATTGGAGGTGGTATGTGAACAGAGGAAGAGGAGGAGGAGGAGGGAGGGGGAGAGTGGAGGAGGAAGAGGTGGAGAGAGGGGGAGGGGGAGGGTGGAGGAAGAAGAAGAAGACAACAACAACAACAATAATAATTCAGGCAAGCAGAGTTGGAGGAAGAATCTGCAACTGACAACCCAACAGGAGCGAGCAGGATGAGAAAGAGGTTTGGTTGTGGGGACCAGCTAGTGAAAAGGCTGGGCACTTGCACCACATCCTTGAGTGCCCTCTATGACCCCTGCAATTCCTCTCCTGCACCCCTATGCACTCTGCTTGACTTGCATCACATCCCTGTGTCCCCTTCCCTATCCATGCCATCTCTCCCACACCCCTACCACCACCTGTCCCCAACCATGCTGCAGTCCCATACACCTTCCTGACTATTGTGCAGCACCTCGCACATACTATTCCCAACTTGGGCTCCACCCACAAACATCCTCCCCAATCCCTACAGCACCTCTTAAGCATCCTTCCTAACCCACCCAGCACATCTCATACAACCGTAAGTATGCCCTTGCACCCTTCCAGATCTGTGCTGCAGAGATGAGCGAGAGACACCACACGGGTCAGGAAAGTGCACGAGAGGTGCTGTGCAGGTTGGGGAGGGTATGTGGAGGTGGGCAAGAGACACTGCATAGGTCGGAGAGGTTACATAGGGATGTGGCATGGATTGCCATAACAGTGCTGATCCAGCAGGTCACAGGAGATTTTAGTAATAAACATTACTGTAGTTTAGAGAAAAATAGTACATGTATATTTCTGAAGGAGTGTGAGTGGCTAGAAAATTTCTTTCCTTTTCCCAAACCATTGACTGGCAGACACACCCACTAGCAATGTTAAGGCCACACTAGTGAAGTTCATGACATATGGAACCGTATAACTTTTTAAGAGCAGTAAATAGTGAAGAATGTGACTTAACGAATGAAATGAAGAAATAAAAATAGACTAAACGCTTGATTTAACAGACTAATTGCAAATCTGTTAAAGCCTAGTGTCCATTAATGGGATTTTATGCATGAGTAAAATGTACATAGAGTCTGTAAACTGTAAACTATTTACATACAACTTAGATAATGTATGTGCATTGTCCAGATTGATTTGCAAACAATAAAGTGTAACCTTAGATTTTGCCTGTTACATTTGAAATCAATGTCCATAAATTGAAGGTTAACTGTGGATATGTTAAATGTTTGTGGAACTAAAAGAAAGGGAAAAGATATAATAGACTTGAATAAAAGTGGTCCAATCTTGCGAAGTCGAAATATATACATAAGGAAATAAATGAACTAAAATATATGTCAGAAAATATGAATTGATATTATCCATGACTTTGTGACTTTGTATCAAAGTAAGAATTTATAGTTTGATGAAAGCATGTTTTGATGAATAATATGATAATGGAAGAACTAAGGATGAATTTGGGGAAAAAATTGGATAACATTGTAAATGAATGCAATCCAAAGATAAGTATTATTCTGTTAGATGAAATGAATGGATGGGTGGAAACAATCTAAAAATAAATTGTGCCTTGAAATACAAAAATGGATGAGAATGTGATGGCTTGGTGATAGCTTAGAGAAAGATATTGTTTCAAATATGTTATTTACACATTACTCATTTCTGCAAATGGAAAATAAATTAATAGAAAATATTATTGATATGCTTGCTTATAATGAAAGACAAAAAATCAATGAAAGCTACATTGGTAAGGAGATATTCTGGATATAGGGCAGACCATTTTTTGGTAAAGTCAGGAATATTTCTTGGAAAATAGACATGGAAGGAAAAGAAAGATGTGAAAACATGAGTGAAAGCAGAATGCATGCAAAAAGAGAAAATATTAATCATAATGTATAAGACTTTATTTTTTAAATGTCCTGACAAAATGTAGAAAGAGGGTGTGGTAGCAGCTTGGAACAGAGTAGAAAGGATTATTTTATAGAATATCACACAGTTGTCTGGAGAAATATGAACAAAGATCTTTGTTGGCCTGCAGAAATAAAAAGGTTCTGGAAATGCAATTACTGTAAGGGAATATTAATGCAAAAAATGAGAATGAAAAATATTGCATGTCAATAGAGGATAAAATATAGTTTCAAGGAATATAGTGAAAGAACAAGAAATAAGATTAAGAAGCAGAGAAAAGGCACAGTGATTTTAATGGAAATAATAATTTAGGTGAAGGGGGCTAAACAATGAGCTTCCAACATAGTGAAAGGAATTAAAAATAATAGAAATCAAATGATGTGGAAGGAAGATGAAATAAGAGAATGATGAAGGAGTATTTTAGGGATCTATATGGGAATGAAATAAATATGTTGAAATACAAAACTGAAGTGAATATTGTATTAGTGTCCAGGAAAAAAAGAGATGAAGAACAAAGGCAATGAAAATGCTGAAGAATAGTAAGCCTGCAAGTTTAGATGGGGCAATTAGAAAAATATTAAAATATGGATATGGTTTGATCATGGAGTGGGTGTGCAACTTGTTTAATATAAACCAGGGTGGAGCAGTTGTTAGAATGTAGTATTGCAGGCTAATTCTGTAATATGCTGACATTTGTAAACCACTCAGAGTGCTGTAAAGCAGGGGACCCCAAACCCAGGTCCGTGGACCAGTACTGTGGCGCGGCATGCCCACAACCGATCTGCACAAACAAGGGAAGCCCCATCTACAGAATGCAGGGAGCACACAAAACCATGCCCCCTCCAGTCTGCGGAAAAATCTCTTTCCACATAACCGGTCCCTGGTGCCCAAAACGGTGGGGACCTCTGCTGTAAAGACTATGAAGTGGTATTGCTGTATGATTGTGAAGATTACACCTATGTATGGCAATTGGAAGAATACTTTGACTCTTCCCATATACACAAGAAAAGATAACAGCATTGAATGCAAAACTACAGAGAGGTAACTTGCAATGTCTGCTGGGAAAGTGTTTGAGAAAAATCTAACTGAAAGAATATAAGAGTGACAACGAGCAAAACTTGGGAAATGCAGTGTGGGCTTTATGTTGTGTGGAGTAGGTAGTGACCAGGCACTTTAGTAACTCACTGAGAAAGTATGAATGGGAGAAGGTTTACTGCATGCTTATTGGTTTAGAGCAGGGGTGTCAAACTGCCAGCCCGCAGGCCGGACGCGTCATCTGGAAGCCACGCCCATCCCATTGCCAGTAATCGCAAAACCGTCCTGATACATTGCGCGACGTGACGTCACGAGTTTGACATGTCTGGTTTAGAGAAAGCAAATGATAAAATGAAAATAGAGTTTGAGATTAATTGCTGAATATTTATTTATTTCTAAAATGATTCTGAATATGGCGAAATGAAATGCTTAATGAATTGTTCAATTTTTGATTGGGGAATAAGACAAAGATATGTGATCTCATGCCATTTTTCAAATATATTTATGGACAAATACATAAATTGTAAATTGTAATGGAAACAAGGTTGGTTAACAAGGACAAAAATGCGTGAGAAGGTACAGCGAATGCTCTTGGTATAAACTAGATAGATATAATTTTTCTTTTCTTCCCTGTCTTTAGTTTTCTTTGTCTATTGCTTCTTACTGTTTTTCTGCATTGTGGATAGGGTTGCTTACCCCAACAATGAATAGTATATATGTACAGAGTTAGTTTTGCTTCGATTAAGCTAAAAGCCTTGTAATTAATTAAATTTCAGGATAGTACTGTGAAACTGCCTAAGGTGCAAACATGCTATATACAGTATACTACTGAAATCCTATTATCTATTATCTAGATACTTTTGCCCACTATACTACAAAATGTACCACCAGATTCCTAGAATATAGCAGTAACTATTTAACTATTATCAGAAGGAGCAGAACCAGGCTGCGAACCACTACCTTTGTCTTCTGAAGGAGTACAAGAGGTCCTCTGGGGATATGTAAATGTAGGTTCTGTGCCTAACCAAAATTTTCATTTGACTGAAGAAGTTACTTGGATGAGCAGTGAAACGTCTCAGTTTAATAAACGTTGGTCCAGTTGTCATGATTTAACCTTTTTACAAGTCCTCAGTGGATGTGGTAACATCACTTGAAGGAGCAGGGGGCTGAGTTTTTTTTATGGCCTTTGGGTAGTTGTTTTGGGTTTTTTATTTTAAGTAAGAACAGGAACCC